TGAATAAAGCCAAGTGCCGGGGACCTAAGTGGTCACCTTAATATATAAAAAAAAAAAAAAAAAAAAAAAAAAAAATTGGCTGATACTGAAATTTAGAGTTCACATTTAAATCCACAATATCTATTAAAATTTACATATACATTTTTATTAATAACATTAACTCTAAATCTTAACTTAACTCTAAAAAAAACCTCTAACAAAAAGGCCTAAAAATTTTTTAAAATTTCTTAATAAAATAGCTCAAAATTTTAGCATTATTTGATTTCAGTATCATCCCTGATATTTATTAAGTAACTCATATGACAATGCTAGTATGTCACATGGTATTTGAATATTTGATGATCATTTACAGATGTTCAAAATATTATAAATAGACCTTTTTTCACCCTTTCTCAAAATTTAACTTTTCTTACTATAAAAGTTCACTTATAAATAATAAAATATTATTTTTTTTATCTTTTTTTTTGCCTTTTGTTATAAGACTACAATAATATGCCATTATTAAAACCATCTGTGTCTCTTGTTCTTTACAGACTCCAATAAGGTATAGCAATTATTAGCCTACTATATACTAAGGCTCCAAAGTTTTGTTATCTTGCATAATTTGACTTAACTCTTTTAAATATTAAAACTCTATTATTATTAAACTGTTAAGTTATTACTCCTTTCTGCTTGCACTCTGTATTTAGTTCAAATTCAAAGCAGTAATAACAATATAATTTTATTGATTTGGTCTATTAGAAGTTTAGAGTTAACCTGCATAATAATATAAGTATGAAGAAGTTCCTATTTCTAGAACTTAATCACATCTAAAATATAAGCAATTTTTTAAAAATATGAATAAATATATATATAACAATTGTTAATAATTATAATACATTTTGTCTAGATCAGAGTTGTGATTGTATTTCTTTTCAATTATAGTTAGTTGTCATAATTATAAAAAACTTAATTTTCTCTAGCAACATAGCAAAGCAAGAGCATTTGCTATATAAACTGTGCACTTTTTTTTTGAATCCAGGAAAAAAGTAAGATGACATAGATCTATTGTCTTCATCATTTTTACTTCCAAAATCTTCTTTAATGCCAGTTTGTATTTGTGATCTTTTTTCTTTATTAAGGCATTTTTTCATTTAATATATAATTCACATGTTCTTTCTCAACACAGGAATATATATCTACCAGACAATCAGAGCTAATCTTTCCAAGATCAAAAATCTTTACTTGCACAACAAATAGCAACAATACCAATTAATTTGTAAGAGATTATAACAGTTATTAGCATACTATCCAAGCGTTCTGTAAGGAAAGAGCAACAGATACTAGAGGGGTTCATATTGTGAACTAAGAATATTTACAAACTTAGATACAGTATCAAAATAACTACAAATAATAATACTTCATAGATATATGCTAATAATATTATATTTGTGTACATTATGGATGCGATAAAAATATAATAAATTCTACCATTTACATTCTTATCTTTATCACCAATTAAGAAAGAACTATAGCAATGCAAGGACCTCATGTGATTAGGCTCTATGGCCGCCACGGACAGTAAGAACCTCATGTTTGGTGATTAAGCTCCGTAACTAACACTAACATGATCATCAACTTGAACTCCCAGGGTCATCCTAGTCTAGCAAGGTTTTGCACAAAGGTTTGATCAAAGCCTAATATCCGATTAGTATGCGTTATATTATTGTTCATAATTAAAGGTACAAGACAACCAGATGATTATAAGATAATATGAAAATCTTTTCCGTTTTAACCCAAAAGGAAATGTGGTGGATCACGAGTAAGGCCGCATCCAGTAAATAAGAAGTTTAATGTAAACTTTGTTAGAAATGATCTATGACATGCGGGCAAATAGCACAAACAAGTAATTAAACAAGTAAAACTTATTTTTTAACCTATGTATCCGTAAGGTACTCTAATCAAAAGATAGGAACACAAGCCCTCCTTTACTTAAACTCACCTATACAGAATACATTAGCCTTCCAGTTACCAAAAGAACAAAGAAAGTAACCAAAGGAAATACTGAGGGAAAATCTCGAATGAAAAGAGACAATGCTTTTGTGGTTTTTCAAAAATATTTACACTATCATTTTTTAGAATCCCAAGGATACAATTTACCTTTAAAAGAAGAATCAGTTTTTGCTACAGCTTTTTGGAAATACTTAAATCCTGGTGTTGAAAAAATTATACATGACTTAGAGATGATATAAAAAAGTTGAACTTGCTAAATTAGTCAAAAAAAAGTCAGCAACCAAAACAACAAGTCAAAGTTTTAATGCTTTAAGCAATTCTGCTGACCTGGATCTTATTAAGAAAGTTATTAGTTTAGTAGATAAAAAACCTTGTCAGCCCTCAAATAAATTCTCCAGCTCTGTTCCTTCGGCTACTACCATACCTTGTGAAGAACACAATTTGTCTTACATCGTTAATGATGCTAACAGCAGATGTCCTAAACATAGTATTTATAATCTGCTTTGCAAAAAATGCAAACCTTCAGAAACTAAGTATGATGATAAATGGTTTGAATGAATATATTTTAAAGAAATATTTTTATGTTTTTTTTTTTTATTTTAAATTTTAATAACCTTATGCTTTTTATTCATACATTTACCACGCGGTGTGGTATTTTTAATTATACTTTATTTTCTTTATATGCGGCAATCAATTATGCAAATTAAGATCTTTATATGCCCTATGCATATTAATCTATATGCCATTTTAAGATTTATTATGTTTATTATTGTACGTGGTAGTTAAGATTATATACCCACATTATGCATTAAGTAATTAAGCTAATAAATCGTTTACAATTATCTCTAGCGGTTAAGATTTGGTAATACTTGTCTAATTTGGTCCAGCATTTCCAAAAACCGGAAAGATCCATTAATTTATCGCCAACGTATAATACACATTACACATATATACTGTGAATTTCTCACATGTGTTCTGCGACCATTTATACCATCTCATTTTCACACGTGCAAAATAATTGGTAAAAATGCAGGAGACACTCGTTAATTTCGTTATCATATTTTATTTTTTCATTTTAGAAAATTGTGTTAAGTAAATAATTATTCCATTATCACCTATGACTGAAATATAACATAGCTTTACTGTTAACAATTTAATCACGATTATAATAAATTATATTGCAGATCTTCGGCTGAAGCAAAGTGTGATCTAAAGCATTTACGTTAAAAGTTAATGCTTTCACATTGATTAAAATATAGAATAATTTGGTCAATTTAGGAATTTTAGGACATCCAAAAACAAATATCTTTACTTTAGAATAATCGATAACCAACGTTAGTGCCCAGTACTATTCAATTTAAAAATGAAATTATTGAATAAAACCCTGGGTACTTACTGTATATAGTAGCCAACAGTAAGTAGAAATGTTTTAATAAACTATAGTTTAATATAAAAGGCGTTATTGCTTAATAAAAACATAATAATTTTCTATGACGAACTTTTTCTTCTAAGAATATTAATTCATTATTTAGATTACTGAACAATTTTTAAGGATTTTGGAGTTTTTTTTTGGTATCTTCGAAGTGTTACTTACCAGTACTTTTCTAATCTGTATGTCAAGCCATGTGCTTTATAAATTTAAAGACGATATGAAGATTTTAGTGAGCCTTATTCTTTTGCTTTTTTAAATAACGTAAAGTATAATATTAACAAGATTTTTTAGTGAGCTTAAAGAATTGTAATATGCTTAATAGCTAATAGATTATTCTTTAATCAGTAAAATTAAAGAATAGCTTGCGTCGATTAATTATTGGCACCATCCGTGATTGACGCAGAACATTGAGTACAACAACTAGAGTGTATTTAACAAATTCGACTTTTTTTATTTCTGACCATATCGATATAGCACATTGCTTAATGATAAGTCCTAATACCTTACAGTTATTATATTTCGTGACTTCACAGATTCCAATAATAATCTCTAATAATAAATCTCAAAAAATATAATATTAGGCATTATAGTTTTAAATAATCACTGATAAGTAAGCTTTGTCAGGCTTCTAATTATCAAAATCTAAAAACTAAATTTTTTCATACTTTGATCGAAATCTGAAATTTAACAATTTTTTTAATGCAATAGACCGGTGTCGTGACTTGTTTACTTTTACGCCAAGCTGGCTTATTAAAAACTTTTGTGATACTATACAGTAACGCAACAATAATTTAAATATTACACAAAAAGTCCAGATATAGAAATTTTAAGTACATATCTATGTATGTACGTACTGTACGTACGTACGTACGTACGTGCGTATGTATTCTTTTTTTCTTTTCTTATTAAATTTCGATCGTAAAAATGGCAAATAATCTAATTGTAAAACAGCCTGAAAAAACTGAAAGTTCATCTGATATAATCCAAATAACTGCCAATTTTAATCAGTTATATTTAGAAAATAATAATGAGTTACTGTATAATTTTGTTGAAGAACTATATAATCTATATAATGAAGAAAGATCAAAAGGCAAAAATACAGAGCAAATAATTAACATATTTGATCAATTTTTAATAAAAAAGAAGCAAAATCCTAATAATGTGATCAAATGGTGCTTAGAAAATCAAATCAATCCTATGGCTCAAATTATTCTTGCAACTTGTTATCGTTTTGGTAAGTGGATTGAAAAGGATAAACATAAAGCATTTATTTATTATCAAATGTCCGCTGATATGGAAAATATTGAAGGTACATTTAGCGCTGGTGTTTGTTATGAATACGGAATTGGTGTTAATAAAAATATAAATATGGCATTCATTTATTATCAAAAATCTGCTGATATGGGTCATATTGTTGGAACAAATAATTTGGGATATTGCTATGATTTTGGATTTGGTGTTGAAATGGATGAAAATAAAGCATTCATTTATTATCAAAAATCTGCTGATATGGGTAATGCTTTTGGAATAAATAATGTTGGTCATTGTTATGAAAACGGAATTGGAGTTGAAAAAGATGAACATTTGGCATTTATTTATTACCAAAAATCTTCTGATATGGGTAATGCTCTTGGAACATTTAATGTTGGCTATTGTTATGCGAATGGAGTTGGAGTTGAGAAAGATAAATACAAGGCATTCATTTATTATCAAAAATCTGCTGATATGGGAAGTGTTAACGGACTAAAAGAAGTTGGAGATTGTTATCTATATGGATTTGGAGTTAAAAAGGATGAATATAAGGCATACATTTCTTATAAAAAATCTGCTGAAATGACTTAATATAAAATGTAATAAATTGTCATTTGTTTGATTCTATGATTAGAATCAAATGAGTTATTAATTTTCGAAAAGAAGAAAAATTTTTGCTAAAATCTGAGATTAGAAATGATTCTTAGTATGAGCTAAAAATTTTCCTGATGTAGCTTATATGGCATTAAAAAAAAATTCGCTACTGAAAAATAAAATATTGTATTATTATTATTATTTTATTTACTGCAAAAATCTTAAAAACCGAATATAGTTACGATCTTTAGATTGTACAATGTCTTTTTTTTTTACATTATGCATTTAAAAATATGAATGCAAATGTTATACGCTAAGCTTCAGTTATATCACCCTTTGTCCAAGAGTTTTTTTGATATAAGTTAGGTAGAGATATAGCTAAGGTATAAATTTAGCAAATACATATTATATGTTCTGCAAAATAATAGTGGATTAGTCATAGCGAAAAAAAGGCAATCACGTGATAATATCCTGATTTGATTGGCTATTAATGTCACATGGTTAAATCGTAATTATGATTGGTTAACAGGTAAAAAATCATGCGATACCAAAAACATGCATTACTAAAATGTACATATTTACAGCGCTATAACATATATAAATGTATACAATAAAGGGATGTGATACATTATTTGTTTTTAGCAAATAAATATCAAAAAAAAACGAAATGAAACCTCATAAAAATCAGAATGAAACCTCAAAAAATCAGAATCAAACCTAAAAAAATTAGAAACAAACCTCAAAAAAATTCGAATGAAACCTCAAAAATATTCATAACAATTGAAAATGCTGTAGTTTATTTTATATTAGACAAAGGTATAAAATCTCAAAAAAGATTACAATAAAATAAAATGTAGTAAAAATATATAAATTTTATTTTGATAGTTTTGTTTTTTTTTGGCAATCCTGCCTTTATTATGTAAGAGCTACGTATTATTTATACAAAAGTATTCAGCTAAAGCTTTCAACCTCTCTTCTTCTTAATAAAAGCTCACCTGGCTGCTCTAAGGTGCCCAGATACAATCTGCTGCAGCAACTTTTTTTCTCACTTCTGGCTTTCAACTCAATAAAAGTATACCTATCAGATCCTAGAATAGTAGTTGCTAGCCTTGTCAAGATTGCCTACTTTCTCTTCTAATCTTTCCTTCTTCTCAAGAGGCATGAGACAAAAAGAAGAAATTTTATAAAAAGAAATATGATGAAAACAAAAGAAAAAAAAAAACAGAAAAAAAGCAAGAAAAATACAAATGTCAAAAAAAGAAAACAGAACAAAAAGAAAAACTGTATTGATAGCACATTTATGCCTGTGCCAAGGCCTAAAAAATTATATATTAATTGCAACTAATCAATATATCTTACTTGTAAAGTTTTACTTTATTGTTATATACTTGTTCTGGACATGTTACCAGAGTTGGGTATCTCCTAAGTGAGAGTACTAATCTCTTTCTCATATTGTAGCACTGTATTGATAAATAAAACAAAGCACATAGTTGTATTCTACTTAGTTCATCTAAATTAGATAATATAAACAATATTGATCTTTTGGAGAGGATAAGCTAAATCATCCACTTTTTTTAAAAAGTTTTGTTGAGGTTGGCAGAAGATAAGAAAAAAGAGTGAATATCCATACTAAAACTCAGAAAGACTTTCATCTGATTGGCTGATATAAATCAATTGCCCAGGTAACTTATTTATATACTTTAAAATACTTTTTGAAAATGTAATATTTTATCAATAAAAAATTACTACAAAAGCCTTTTCTAACTTTGAAGCAATGTTTATATTCACTATGCAAAATAATCTCTAAATCATCTTACTCTCTACATACTTTGCTTAGAAGACAAAAAATATACTCTGTTTATTAACCATGCAAAATTATATTGTGAGTGAAGATAACTGGAATAAGTTTTGTCCAAAACTACTTTATTATATTTGATCTAAAGAAAATTTTATTGCTAATATTTAATTTAAGTAGAAACAAGCTCTTTAATAGTATAAAATCTGAATTTAATATTTAAATTTGGATATTTATATAATGTGTTTGGGTTAGTCATTCATAGAATCAAAATTTTGATTTATATATCTTGTAGATTCTTTAATAAGTTTGAATTTATTAATAATAAATATCATATTTATCCCACTTTGCACATATCTACCTATTTTCTAAATTATTAATATAATTTTTTTTTTATATATATTTATTGGTTTGTAAGCTTTATAAGAAGTTTTTTTTATTTTTTAGTAGTATTAAAATAATAAGTCTTCTTAAAAATTATATATTTTGATTGGTTAATTATCACAAGCAATCACAGGTAGATCTACAAAAATTAACTAATCATATAAATATTTTTCTATAATACTAATATAAAGAAGTATATGTTTTTTATTAAAATTACTATCAATTTTACTGCTATACACAGTACTAGGTTTTTTTTGGTAAGTGATAAACTCTGAACTTGTTAGCAAATAGTATATATGAACTATTTCTAAACAATAAGTGCTATGCCTACAGTAAGTAATAAACTTTAAAGCTATTAGCAGATAGTATATAAGAACTACTTCTAAATAATAGCTCTGTGTTATAGCTTTACTTTCTGTATCTTATAAGCTTCTTTGGGTATTTATGTTTTTTTCTAATAAAAGTTTTTAGAAAATTTTTGATACAGATAATCATCAGAAAGAGTTGGTTTAGTAATAGAAAACCATGATAATTCTTTACTTTAATATTTTAATTGCATTATGCAATAAATATTTAATATATACTTTACATAAATAAAATTAAACCTGTATTATATAAGAATATATTGAAAGTTAATCATAATAGCAAAAAATGTTGTACTACAAAATTAAAGTAAAATGTAATAATACTTAAATAAACCAAAATATTAAAAAAAAAATTGCAAGGATTCAAATAGTAATTTTAGCTATTATTCATTTTGATATATATAAAAAAAATAGTAAATATTTTGTGTATTTACTAAATTATGGCTTATTTAAATAAAATACTTAATATTGCTGATGACAAACCATGTTCTTACTATAGGAAAAAGAAGATAGATACTGAATTTACTAGATTCTATAGAGATTATGAAGGTCCTGAAAGTTAATATTATATATACAATAATTGTATAAAACAAAAGCAAAAAAGCTCTTTAAAATCTAAAACCAATAAAAATACAGATTTAGAAACTTCAAAAATTCTAGATTAACTTGAATATATTCAAGATAATAAAAATAATATATTATATGACTTATCTTAATTAGAAGAGCAAGTTGCTATATATTTTGCAAATATTGAAAATAATTAGAAAATAAACTTTTTAAAAACTTTTAAATTTAAAGAAGAATTAAATGATAATTTCCAAATATTAAATAGTATTCAAAAGACTAATATTTATAATATAGTTCTATTTTTTTTCTTTATCTATTAAGCTTGGGTTTTATAACTATTGGAAGATTAGAAAAATTTATATTAGTAAAAAAAATAATAAGCAAGCATTGATATATATTGGCTATGCTCAAAAAATAGATTAAAAGTACAAATGCTCAACTAATCAACTAGTGCAAAAAATAAGTAAGGCAAGGCCTTAATTGGACTGATTTTTATATAAAGAAAAAATTGTAATTAATATTAATTTTGATATACACCAAGCAAAAATTGAAATTTTATATTTAATTTCTTATAAATAACCAACTTATTATGAAAATAAATTACCAGAAAGAACTATTAAATAAATATCAAATAATATAAATTAAAATATTAGAAAAATAGAAATCTACAAAAGGCTTGGAGAAGAATACCTTATTAATTTAAAAATATATATCTATAATTAAATTTAATATTGGGCTTTAAAATTTCAGCATGACAATATTTTACTAATTTATCCAACCAGCTTTTTTTCTTTTTAAATTTTTTAAAACAAGATAAATTAATAAATGAAGAATTCAAAGCTATTTTGTATATTGAAAATCATTTCATACAGGTACTTGAATTTCTTATACCTCTTAATAAATATATAAAAAAAACTAATATAAGTAAAATTATTATAGACTCAATCTATAAACCCAAATAACAAAAATTTGAATTATTTTAAGTATTAGTAAATTACCATGAATATAGTATTTCTTTAGCCTATTTATATATGAATACTTTCACAGCTTTAAATGATTATCTTAAAGATTCTAAAAATTGAATTTATTCAAGATTTAAAAGTTCTTAGAGAATTTTTTTTAGAATTAAGAAATAAAGATGTTCTAGCTATTTTTGTAGTTATAGATAAAGATATAGGCAAATAATAGCTATACAAGAAACATAGTCTTTTAAAATAAAGATTCAGCTATGTTTATAGCATATTAAATATATAATTAGTAGAAAATTAAAAGAAAAAAAAATAAATTAAACAAATATATATTACAAAAAGCCAAAGAGATAAACAAACAATTTAATTTTATCAATATATACTGAATTCCTAAAGATAATGAAAATATTATATATTTAGATAAAAAAATTCTTTATGCTGTGTGATTTGAACTTCATGTTATATAACTTGAGATTTTTTATATTATATAGCTTGAGATTTATCTAGTTGTATAACTTGAAAATTCTTATACTGTATAATTAATATTCTGAATAATTTAGATTCGATGAATTTAAATTATTATCCAATCTAAACTATAAGATTAGATTTGTCTAAAAGTTTTAAATTGCCTAGATTAAGCTTAATTTTGAGATTTGGGTCTTTTATATTGCACTAATATATAAATTTTAAATTAACTATATTAAATATTTAATTATTAAATACTTCAGTTTGGTTCTAGATTCAAACTAAAATTTCAAATTCAGTCAGGTTCAGTTTATTCCAGATCAAACCAAGTTTTTTAATCTGAATCAGAATACTATACAAAATTTGAGATTTTTTTTGTTATATAATATGAAATTCTTTTTGTTGTATAACTTGAGACTTCTTTTGTTGGGATTTTTCTTGTTATACAATTAGAAATTCTTGAATTAGATTAAATACAAAGTAGAATTTTTAAGCCATTTTTCATTATTAGAAATTTTGTAAATATGTGTCTATTAGTTGAACGATGACCTGAAATTGTATTATTTTATGCTTATTAATATTAAGATCTAATAAAAGTTGAATAGTAGTTCTCCTTCCTGAATGATTAGTAATTCTTTATCAGTAATATTAATATCTAAAATATGTACAATTTCTTTTATCATATTGCTTAAAGTATTTTTTTCTAATCTATCTTTACTAAACCAGTTTTCAATATTAATTTTTTGTGTATTTCTTGTTAATTGCAAGTAAAAATATTCACATATAACTAATAGATATAAATTAATATAATTATAAAGATCTTGAATTGGCTTAAACTTATATTAACTTGATTAAAAAAAATATGAATTTGGTGGCTAGTAAATTTTCTATATTTGCTTTGACTTTTTAATCCACCTTGATTGTTTTTCTTATACCTAATTATAAAAATCAAACTTCTATCTTGTTAGAAACAAAACAAATTAATAAATTTTGATAATGATCACCACCACAAAGTCCCAGTAAGTATGCATTCTAAAAAAAAACTTTTAATGCTGTTTGTTTACTGGATTCAAGATATAACAAGATCTGGCAAATTTCTTCTACTGTTAAACCTTTTGACTAATCAATTTTATCTAGCCCTTGATTTTGTAATTCTATAATTTCCTATTTACAACATGATATAATATAGAAAATTAAAATCTATCATTGATATTTACATTCTTAATAGCAGAAACTTTGAAAAAGTAACAACAAAGTGAGGTATAAACAGATACAATTGATTCTGCTTTATATAGTTTTCCATCTTGTTGCTTCATATTTGCAAAAAATTCACTCAATTCTTCAAGCTGATTTTTGTTATTAAGTGTTTGAATATTATAAGAAATATTCTTTTTATTATGATATTCTTGTAAACTTTGAACCCATTATTGTGTATAGGCATCAGTGTTTTTAATTCTGGATTTATTTATATAACATTGAACATTATCTTCAGTTATATTATTAGGATCATTGGATGTATTAAATCCATGAGTAGATGTAAAATTATTTGATGAAGATATTGGGAAGAGTTAATTTTTTTTTAATTACTTTTTTTTTTTTTTATTTAAAATTTTATGCTTATCAGTTACATCACTTCTATTAAATAATAATACAAAAGTATAATTGAACCGTGGAATAAATCAGTTATTGACCACGAAGTGGGCATAACTAAAAATTTGGCTCAGATCTGATAATTGGTTGATGACGGAATGACTGCGCCATTCCGCCATCAACCAATTATCAGAACTGAGTTAAATTTTTAGTTATTGCCCGCTTCGCGGTCAATAATTAATACTACCTACTTTCAAAGGTGTGGTATTTTATAAGGGACGGTTTATTTTATATGATCCCAATACTAATCGAATTGTAAAAACCTCAAAAATATCTTTGTCTTAAGGAACACAATGAAGTTTTAGGCAAAAATTTTAAAATTGAACTTCGTCGATTTGTGTAACGTTTGACGTTCATATGATAAAATTTCAGATGTGACAAATCGTATGACTGTTAAATATAAAATATATTACTATACATAGGTTTTGTCATAAGTTTCGTCATAAGTTTCGTCATTCGTCATAAGTTACGTCATTCGTCAATTAAGTCACCTAAGAAAAGGTTTCGTCATTCGTCAATGACGAATGATTCGTAATTCGTCAACCGTCTTTAAAACATTCCCATATTTTATACCTTAAATTAGCCAATTAATGAATATTTACATTAATTTTTTAGCCTTATAGAGAATCGATTCTGACCTATATTTTATCGACTGGTCGAAGTCGTTGCAGCCCGTATCACGATACCGGTTACTAATTTTATGAGATAAATTTATGGTAATTGGAAAATTACTTTTCTCGACATTTACGGAATTACGTAGAAAATTACATAATCATCAGATAATTTGTTACTTATTCATATTGCAGGATAAGATCGAATCAGGTTATTTACTTATGTTGATCTGTTTTGATTGGACATATAAAATTGCTTATTGGGTAATTATTAAACATATAAATTTTACCCAAATTTAGACAAAATTACCGGAAATATGTCCGAGTTCGACACTGCATTAATTGGTACGCCATTCAAAAGTGATTAAGCTAGTGAGATTAATGATATGAATGTATTTTTTTTTTTTATATAAATTTATGAATTAATTGCGCTATATTTGTTTTTTTCATCAAAAACAATTTAAATTTTTAAACGGCACATAGATCGAATTATTTAAAACTAGAAGAAATGTCATTATTACAAAGCTTAACATTTAATTTTAGTTTTAAATATTCCCTAGATATATTGTTATTTTTAGCGTTTTTATATGTTGGTCATTTCTATTACAAATATTTTACACGTGTTAACAAACTTCCGGGACCATTTCCTATACCAATTATTGGATCTGTTAGTATTATATTTATTCATTGTTTTAAGCAGTTGTAAATTTATCTTTGCTTTTTTTTTCTTAAAAAATTATAATTAATATCGATTTTTTATAGCTTTGGAATAAACGTGATGGATATAATAAATGGATTCTTAAGCTCCAACAACAATATGGTGATGTTTTTGAAGTCTGGCTAAGTAATAAACGCAAGGTTTATTTATGTCGTGCTGAATACTTTGATAAATTACTCTCATCATCTACAAAAACTAAATGGTTATCTCGTATGGGAGCTAACGAGGGTCTTCACGAACTTGGAATGAACCAACGAGGAATATTGGCAAATGATAACCTTGATAGTTGGAAATACAATCGACATTTTTTTAGTCATGCTATGCTTACTCCTAGTTTTAATATTAAAGCTATTGATTCTACTAATAAAATATGGAAAGAGATGGAACAATATTGGAACGTTCTTGGTGATGATTATCAAATCGAGTTATCTGAATGGATGCAACGATTTACCATTGATATGATTATTGAAATAACTACCGGAAAAAGAGCTTATACATTACCTGTGTATTTTAATAAATTTACTACAAAGAAAATAATTGATATTCCACCAGCCATATTAGATGATTCAGAGTATTTTATCCACAATGTGCAAAAGTATGTTTCGGTATTCACAACATTCGCCATTTTTCCGTATTACATCAGACATTATATGCCAGTACTTAGAAATATAACTAAGGCGGGAATAGAAAGTCGTGATAATATACATAGAAAAATTGTGGAAATTATTAAAAGTAGAAGAAAAGAAATTGAGAAAAATGATGAAAAAGTATTTAATGACATGTTATCATTACTTATTGTGGCAAATACTGAAAGGGATAAGAGTAGCAAGCCTGATTTACGACCTATGACTGATGATGAAATTTTGGGAAATATTAGGGATGCTTTCATTGGTGGAAGCGAAACGGTAACTAAAATAAAAGCTTTATTTATTTAGATAATCTTAAATAATTTTTTAAATACTGTTTATTTTATTTTAAATAGACTACGAATGCAATCTGCGTTTTATTATATTATATATGCAAACATTCGAACGTTTTAAAAAAACTTCGTCAAGAACTTGACATGGTTTTTGGCGAAGATCGTGATCGTCCATTCACTTCAGACGACCTAACTGAATTAAAATACTGCGAAGCTGTAATCAATGAAGCAGCAAGAATGCATCATATTGCTCATTCAGCTTCTCGTTTAAACATTGAACCTGATGAATTACTTGGTTATCAATGGCCAGCACGCTCCGAATTTATAATGTTCTTTGAGGGTGGAAATAAAAATCCCCAGTATTGGAAAGATCCAGAAGTCTTCAATCCAGATAGATTTATGAGAGATGATAAAATAGTGAAAAGTAATTTTATATTTTTTGGTGGAGGAATTCGACAATGTCCTGGTAAAAAATTGGCAATGATTGAAATGAAAGGAATAATTGCAATGTTGTTTAGAAAGTATGATGTCACTTTGATTAACGAAGAGTTACATTATAAAAGTATGATATTTAATTCCATTATTGAAGGGTTGTTCATAAAAATCACACCTAGGAATGATATTATACTTTCCTAATATTATAGTTGTAAACCATTTCATACTTTTTTTTTTCAATAAGCTTTATATACATATTTGAATTGAAATATTGCTAAGCAATGAACGAAGACATTGATACTTTCTTGCAATAAGTCATAAGATTGAGTCCTTTAAAGAGTCCTAACATTATTATCGAGAATTTAACAGAGGACTCTCATTTTGAATATGGTTAATACATTTGTTATTTGTCTTTAATTACAAATTTGTGAAAATATAGTATTTATTTGCAATCACTAATAAACATTTTTTCATCAGCTCGTTAAAAAAAAAATAAAAATAGATTAAAACAAGCACATATAATAACTAATACTTAGGTTTATATTAAAAAATATATATATTTTTGTAGTAGTTGAAGCTTTCTATTGAAATAAATTTTTTGTTGTTGTACGGATGGGTATGTGTAAGCCTGCACAGGATTTTTTATTTTTATAATTCAGTCAGCTCACATAGTGCTGGCCAGCTTGCGTAATGCCAGCTATGCATGTTTCAAACCCAACTACAGTGGGGTACCATATTATTATGGACACTTTTTCAAAATTTATATAAAGCTAAATAAATAAGATATAAAGCTAAAAATAAAATTATAAACTTATTAAATCTATATTTTTTAAATAAAAAAAAGATTATAAAATTCTATGTAGTACTTTTTGATTGTGTAACTTTGTGTAATGTTACACATGTACAAAATTAGTAATTTTAAAAATTAGTTATTATAATTGCTATATAGTAAAAGTTTTTTTTTATTAAGTAAACTAAATATAATTATTAAGTAAAATTTGTTTAGTATAACAAAATATATATAATATTAAAT